AATGCATACATTGCTTTGTTTAAGTGGCAAGTGCATACTGTGAAAAATGAAAATAAATGCATTCATTCGACATCTTGTTCATATGTTACCTTTATCTTCATGTTCAAATGTTTTTATCATACTTGAGCTTCAAACCTCAGTCGTTATCATTTATTGATTACAAATAGTGGTTTTGACTGATAAACCTTTATAAAACGCTTAACAACGAGACACACTGCTATGTTAAACAAAACTAAACATAAAGATTATTTGGTCTGTTTTGGTATTAATTTCAAAAAAATTGGTGATTCTATTAATAAATTGTACTCGGTTCATACAAGAGGAAGACACAAACAAGCTGCCTTTAAATTGCCCCATAATTCATTTCAACAAATTTTACTGGAAAATACACATGAATAAAAAAGGCAATTAAGGGAATAATGTCGTAATGTTTGTTAATGCTATGAGCCTGTTAAAATTTTTATTTAATTTTTTTTTAATTTTTTTTAATAATCTTAAGATGTTACGTTAGCTTGATGCGGAAGCTCGTTTATATTTGGTCTATTCTTAATGGTAGCTATAATTGTGGATCATGCTTTTTACGCATTGTTGGATCACGCATAAGCACATTTTGTTGTTTCATGCTTTATACATAATGTTTACGCAAACGTTGCTGTGTTCGTTCATGCCTTACTTGCTAGTCAAAAAAATCATGTTAAATGGGTCTTAGTGTCAAGAGGTCTAGAAGTCATCTTAATATTGTAAGGGGTCGAGAAGTTAAGGGATCATACTGTCTTGCTTGCCTTGAAAACTTCAGATCAATTTTTTCCTCAGATTAAGAAAGTATCTACATAAATAATATTCATTTAACTTGAATCATTTAAACGTTATCTTATTTTAATTCAAAACGACAGGATAGATATCATATTTCGCTAAAATGAAGAACTATGTAAAAACACTGACACAAAATATTTAATAATTGACATCGTTAAACAATTCAATTTGCCCATATAAAGTATAAATAAAATGCCAAATCAATATTCCAATTCAGATGCGCGTCAAAATAATTTTTTTACCCTGTGTAAGATCTTACGTCGAAACATTCCAAACATTTAATCGGAAAATAGAAAGAATGATTTCAAGATAATTTTGATAAAATGACATGTTTTTTAAGTGACGTCATGTGTATGTTAATGTAAATTTGCAATGTCAACTCCTTACGGATGCGGGCGTAAGGTCCATAGCAGCCCGAACGATACTGCTCAAATGTTGCAAGTGTTTCTGCGACTCCACATAGACAATTGAGGACGACACAAGAAAGGAAAACCCGAAAGTCATTTGTTCAAGTTACATCAATAAGAAAATTAGCATCATTTGGTTTTGAATTTACGTCTTTTGGAAATTGCATAGGTTTATCAAAATTATGGTAGGGGCGAAAAGATTACCTTTTAATCGTGGCATAGTGTAGGAAATGAATATTTTAATCATCTGTTTCAAATCACTATCTTTCTCTTTTGTCGCTAATCTTTGACTTCGTAAAGTGTGAGACCGTGTATTTTCATTATTTCAAAGTGGGAGGGGTAAAAAACCATTGTATCACGGTTTCTATTAAACATTTGTTATGATCATTGACCTTTAAACAGTCAACATTTTTTTTTTGCACTTTGGTATGTTCATAAATTTATAAACACTTTTAAAATGTGATTTGTGCAACACTATTTGATATATCCTTTCCCAAGACAAGGAAGCGTTGAGAACGAACGATATAAGAAATAATACGTGCATTATCTCCCCATGAATTCAGATACTTTTATTTGAAACATGTTACTTTTAGCTCACCTGTCACAAAGTGACACGGTGAGCTTTTGTGATCGCTTTTCATCCGGCGTCCGTCCGTCCGTCCGTCCATCCGCTGTCCGTCCGTCCATCGTCCGTCTGTCCTTACACTTTTACTTTAAACGACATATCCTCATAAACCGCTATGCCAATTTCATCCATACTTCAAACTTTAGATAAAAGGCATGAAACATCTTCTAGATAGTGTCTACCAAGTGTGTTCAAATAAAAGCCCTGGGTTTAAAATTGGCCCGCCCTTGGGGTCATTGATTGTCTTTATTTGTTTATAGTAAAAACTTAAAACATTCTCTTATAAAACAAACCAAATGGCTAGAGTTCAAACTTCAAATATATGTTTTTCTGGTTTTCTTTGGATTCTTACAAATTGTAGTGAAGAATATTTTTGTGTTTTGTTTAAGAAATCAACGATGGGACATGAGATACATTTAAAGAACAACAAATACCGGCAGTGGGTTAAGGCTGGCCTAGGCTTGGGTTATCTTAAAGAGGGACTTGCGCCATTTTGTGATGACATAGGAAGACAGCAGCACAAAGATATTATAAACAAAATACAACAAACAAAGACTCCTCAACCAAACGTGCCATGCAGCTCCTGTCAGATAACAACTTTCAAGCCAGATCATGTCCGAGTCTCAAAAGGGATATGTCCCCTCAAACAAGATAAATGTAACTGTTGCTTTCCAAATAATAAGAACCCCTGTCCAAACAACGTATGTGGTGCCATCTATGACAGCATTATACAGTATCATGCATCAATGCCACCGGCACCTTTTTGGAAAAACAGTGATGTCAAACAGTGGTCAACAGACCCGTGGGACGTTTGCAAATGTTTTATAAATGCTCCCGGGTACAAGGACAAGACATCAGCATTCAGCACTGACTGTACTGGGTTGCTTCATGTTATCATAAATAACAAGTACTTTCATAGATCACATTGGATGCAATGTTACCTCCAAGTTGACCAAACAATCTTTTTTCAAAGGTAACTAAATTTGTATACTATAATTATTATGTTTATTTTACATTTTGTAGGAATTAATAAAAATATTTAAACTTTACTGTAATATTAAGTCTGTTAATTAAGTATAAAAGCAAAGGAGAATATTTTTACCTTAGTGCAGTTATTGGTTAACTCTTTATTATACCCCCAAAAACAATGTTTTGTGGGTATATAGGAGTCACCCGGTGGTCGGTCGGTCCAGCGGTCTGTTCCATTTTCCTTGTCCGGAGCATAACTTGAAAACTAGTGGTTAGAATTCAATATTATTTCATACAATGGTCAAGCACATTGAGAGGAAGTGCAGTGCACAAGAACCATAACTCCATCGTGACTAATTACAGAGTCACTGCCCTTTGTTACTGTTCCTTGTCCAGAGCATAACTTGAAAACCACTGGTTGGAATTCAAAACAACTTCATACAAAATTTCCAAGGGACAATAAGGGGAAATGCAGTGTACAAAAACCATAAAATTCATTTGACTCATTACAGAGTTATTTCCCCTTTTTTACTTTTTCCCCTTGATTTTTTTTCCGGAAACCCTGACTTTTAAAACAAATGGGTTTGGGAAATTTAATATAAAATTTATAAAAATGGTCCCAAACCCCAGTTATAAAGGAAATGCCCGTGCCATAAGAAACCCTAACTCCCTCTTACTAAATTTCAAAAGTTATCGGCCCCTTTTTTACTTTTCCCTTTTCCCCGACCCTTTTTTGAAAAATTTCTGGTTGGAATTTCAATACAACTTCCCTACAGTTTCTAGGCCCCATTTTTAAAAGGGAAGGTTTTCAGTGCACAAGAAAACCCAAAAACCCAAAAACTTTTACAAAAATACAGAGTTTAAAAAGCCCCCCTTTGGGTACTTTTTCCTTTTCAAAAAACATAACTTAAAACGTAACTGGTTGGAATTCAAAAAAACTTTATACAATGATCAAGCACAATAAGAGGAAGTGCAGTGCACAAGAACTATAACTCTGTCCAGAGTAATAATAGAGTTGTTGCCCTTTGTTGCTTTGCCATTGCTTTTTTCTTGTCCAGAGCATAACTTGAAAACTACTCGTTGGAATTCAATACTATTTCATACAATGGTCAAGTATATTGAGAGGAAGCACAGTGTACAGAAATCATAACTCTTTCTTGACTCATTTAAAAGTTTTTGCCCTTTGTTACTTTTTATTGTCCAGTGCATAACTTGAAAATTAATGGTTGGAATTCAAAGAAACTTCATACAATATTCAAGTGCAATGAGAGAAAGTGCAGTGTACAATAACCATAACTCCATCTTCAGTATTGATAGAGTTATTGCCCTTTGTTCTTTTCCTTTTCTTTCTGGACTAATTGCAGAGTAATTCAATAAAACTTCATCAATGGCCAACCACATTGAGAGGAAATGCAATATACAAGAACCCAACTCGCCAATTTTTTTAAGCCAATTGTAAGCCACTTCGCAAGCTCCGCTCCTTTGTAGCTTTCTTATTTACGAAAAACACCCACTATGCACTCTAACCTATACTTAATTGCCCACAACCATAAATGTATTTCAATTGTTTTACAAGGTATACTGTTACTAGTAACATGCTCATTTCCGAAGCAGTCTTGCAGGGGCATTAGTCACATTTAGTGATAGTTCTAGTTGAATTTTTTATAAGAGTTTTACCCATTACCGCACAAAGATGAAAATTATATCCATATAACTATGAGGTTAATGCAGTTTAATTTTGCCAGAGAAACAATTTGCAACAAATGAATAAATTAAAATGATTCAAAATTGTTACGCATTAAGTTGTATTCTTAAATATATTTTAGCAATACAATCTTTTCGCTAGCTCTAAGTTTGGTGGGAAGGAAACAAAAACTATTTCTATTTTAAGCCTCACTGTATTATGTACAGAAATAGGTGATTTGTGCTTTATAAGTAAACGCAACACCTAAATACCATAACTTCAGTAAAATAATTATAAAATTTATCAGAAAACCATTTCTATTCCATTTGCTTTTATATAATCTGAAGTTTAAACACAATAATAATTATAATGATTATTATGGTAAGTACTTTAAATAACTCCTTTATTACAGTTTTAATTCTCAACTTAGGAATTGTGTTTAGTCTCATTGCTGAACACTGTATTTATGTGAATGTTGTATTATTTGTTTTCTGTATATTAGGTACGGCAGTACCGGAACGAAATTTTTCACTCTAGCACTATGGAGTTAGAGGAGAGTAAGGCTAATTCATATATTGATGATATGATAGCTGTTCTACAAGATAGTATGGAACTTTTACATCGACAAGATGCACAACAAGCTGTCGGGAAATTTCAAGATGTAAGTGTACATAATAAATTATAAGTTTGAAACCTTTAAAGAGTTAAATTATCATAACTTGAAATAAGCACATTTTACTAAATTTACAGAGTTAAATAGAAAAAAGTGCTCGAAGTGGTTACTAGTACTTCATTTTAGTCAAATTTAAGTAACAACTGCCTTAAGTTAACTTATATTGATGAAATCAAATGAAATACCTACTACTACAAAAATACGGATCTAAGCTTGTTAGTAACAGGTAAGAAAAACAAATGTGATGAAAATAGAGAATTCTGGCAAATGACTATTCCACAAATCCTGCCTTAAAAGCAGATTGTTGAAGCCCTCAGAAAAAGTATTAGAGTTAAAATAAAAAACAATTGAGATAATTTTGAAATAAAAATGTTGTTATATGATATAGCTACATTTTATCTCTGAAAGAAAATTGAACATTTTTTTTTCATCAGCTAAAGCAAAAAGACTTTGTTATCACTACTGAATGCTCTGAAGAAATTTTGAAACAAATCAAAGATGAAATGACAAAAATGCGGGAAATTACCGAAAATGCTGCAACTAAAGAGGAATATGAGGAGCTCAAAAATAAATTTATTGAACTTGAAAGACAGTTGGGAAAAGAAAGAGAGGGACAACTTGAGGCTGGGAAAGAACAGAAAAGAAAGTTTACTGAACTAGAGGCAGTTATAACAGAGCAAAAACAGGTAAAAATGTTTTCCTTTTGTTTGTTTCAAGTTGATATACCAGTACATGTATTCCAATACACCCACGTCCGTCCGTCTGTGCATCCCCACTACATTCGTGTTCGAACTGTAACTTTGTCAAACATTGAGAGATTTTAAAATAACTTGGCAAAATGTCTACCACATCAAGACGATGTGTTGTGTCTAAGAACCACGTCCCTACCTCAAAGGTCAAGGTCACACTATCATTTTGAAGTTTCACATTATCGCCATTAGAGTAAATAGGTACACACATACGTGTCAGGACTTACCTTTGTTATGCATATAATGATTCCAAAATAACTAGGCATAGATGTCTACCACATAAAGACGATGTGTCACGTTCAAAAATTACGTCCCCACCTCAAAGGTCAAGGTCACACAACCATGTTGAAGTTCACTTATCACAATTAGAGTTTATATGTACACACATTCATGTCCGGCTGTAACTTTGCCATGCATTGAAGGATACATCGCGACAAAGACCAATGTCCCTACCTTCAAGGTCAAGATCACACTTATAATATGAAGGTACTCATTCTCTTGAGAAGAGTTTGAAGATACACATTCATCTCCGGACTACAAATTTGTCATGCATGGAAGGATTTTAAAATAACTTGGCACAAATGTCTACCACATCAAGACAATGTGTGGCGGCTAAGGCTCACGTCCGTCTGTCCCCACTTACACAACAATCATGTCCATACTGTAACTTTATCATGCATTGAGGGAATTTGTAATAATTTGGCACAAATGTCTATCTCATAACAATATTTTGTTGTGTCCAGGAACTTGGTCCCTTCTTCAAAAGTCAAGGTCACACTTATATTTTGAAGGATCATGCTAGAGATCACAATTAGAGATTACAGGTACAGTAATACAAAGAACAAAATTTAGCAATTAGTTACTTTCATTCTCTTTTCTTTTCATAATACCTGCATGCTTAATAAACATTTTCGGGGGCATGTGTCACTTGGGTGACAGCTCTTGTTTCTGTTATTTCTTTTCAGTTTGAATGAAAAAAAAGTTATTGTTTTAAGAAAAATCTCACAAAAAGTGGAAAAAAGTCAATCTACTCTTTTTTTTTCTTTATTGAAATTTTGTACACTGACTCAAACATAAGTAAACTATATAAATTAAGCAAAATGTAGGTAGTGTGCCCTTTATATAGGCAAACAAGATTAATTTTGTAGCAGATAACTCAATAACAAGGATGGTGGCCCACATTTTTATAACCCCCACACAAGAAGGGGGTATATAGCAGTCAGCTTGTGGGTCGGTCCGTCTGTCTGTCTGTCGGTCCTCATCATGGATTCTGGACGATAACTATAGTTTGGAATAAGGTATTGTAATCAAACTTGGTGTGTGTATAGCAAGCTTATATGCAGACCCAGGCTGGTATTGCATTTGGATCCCTGGGGTCAAGATCACCATGACTAAAAATAGAAATTGGTTTCCAGACATAAACTAGAGTTGTGAGTGGAATATTTTAATCAACTTTGGTGTATAGCATCTTACATGAAGACCCCGGTTGGTATTGCATTTCGACCCCCCGGGGTCGAGGTCAGGGTCATCGTTACTAAATATAGAAAAATGGTTTCCGGACAATAACTAGAGTTAGGAATGAGATATTGTAATCAAACTTGATGTATAGCAAGCTTATTTGAAGACACCGGTTGTAATTTCAATTAATTGAAATAATTCTTTGTACACAGTTGATACTTCTCTTACTATTGGTTGAGTTCAAATATATTTTCAGACCACTTAGTTTTCAAAAAGTCAAAGTTGCTGAGGGGGGTTTTACTCATCTTCAGTGATGGTTCCAGTTGAGCTTAATCATAGCCTAAGAATATGCCAAGTTTTAAGGAATTCTATTGAACAGTTATAATTTTGCCTATATATGTATAAAAGTCCTAAAACGTCTTTAAAGATAACTTTGATCTGTAACTGAACTTGACTATCTACAATTCCTTTTAACAACATATGGGCCAAAACAACAAAATATATTTTGAACAACCTTAACAGAAGTGATCCGCTTGTAGTCCTCTCAAAAAGTAAAATAAATCATGCCCCTACGAAATCAATGGCCCATCCTTAGGCTTCATGGCTAAAGTGATAAGTATTTAGTATGAAGCATTGCCTAAGTTATGAAAATCATAATCATGGGTGAAATAGAGCTATGCTTCAGTTTTATTATTTAATTTATAACTTTTTCTTTAAATAGGAATGTGACTTGACTGAGGACCTATTAATTATGCCTCTATAATGTTAAACCTTCTAGAAATGGTCACTTAACAAAACGATCTCTTAAGACAAGGCATGATAACAAAGGAAAACTTTATACATATCATCTTTCCTCTGCAGTGGGGAAGTTTTTTCAACTTCATTTATATAAATGTTTAATAATTATAACACTGTGATCATCTCATTAGATGTTCAAATAAAAAAAAATAACTTTCTGATATTTATATTGACAAAACAGCTTTGATCCATTACCTTCATGTTTGACATTTTCTCAAATTTTCAAGCTATTGTATTCCGTTACTTTTCCTTGTCCCCGACACGTAAAATCTAATTTGTGTAAATCTTTTCTGTGTTGATTTTCAATTCAAAGAAACAAACTACATCTAACTGTAACTATTAGTTTAATTGCTGATTATAAAAGTTCAAGGTCAATTCAATGCAGTCAAAATATCAACGGTGAAGCGTATACACCATCTCAGTAAGGACAGGGTGTTACATTATTCTATCGATTATATTGGATAATACATGTCCCACCTATAATTAACTTCACTTGCATACGCTAAAAACTGTTTGGGAAATACAGTTTTTCACACATTTATATATTTTGTTATGATTGTTGACACTTGTGAAATCACGAGGCGGCTTTCACTAAAAACACAAACATTTGACAGGTAGGAGCACTTTTAGAATATGTCTGCAGTAAAATCCGTGTTTTACAATTTAGAATTGGTTGTTCGATGAAAATATTAATAGTAATTAGCTGACCAATTAGCCGTCACCGATCGCGTTGAGTTTTCATAACTTTAATTTTTAGAACAGAACAGAACAGAAATTTTATTCAAGATTTGTACATGGTACATCATCTTACAATTTGTACAATTCAAATATACTATACAATAGTCACATGACATTTAATGTATATAAATATAGCTATAGATCTTAACATTTAATGTTTCAAATGTAGCAACAAAAGACTTGACTGCAAATAAGAAATCTAAAATAAATAGGGTGTATCAATGGGGTAAAGGTAGCATAACTAAGTATGGACTATAGAATGTTTTGTTTTTAGCACACCTATCACAAAGTGACATGGTGAGCTTTTGTTAACGCCTTTTGTCTGTTTGTAAACTTTTACTTTAAACGATATCTCGTCATAAACTGCTACACTAAACTTTTTATTGTCCCTCAATTCCAATATCTTGTTGAACGTTTTAATACTCATTTGTAAATTTAGTTTTGCATGATTGTACCAAAAATGTCAAAATGAACAATTATTTGCATTGCAATGAAATTGATTTTCATTGAAGAAAATTTGATTAAGATGTTTTTGAGATATATTGGGATGCACTAAAATTACTGAAAACAATAGACATTTTTGAAAATTACTGAATAAAACACAATTATTTGTATTATAGTTTTTGTTGCAGGAGATAAAAAGACTCAAGGTAGAAGATTCTCCTCAACAAAAACAGTTAGAGTATGAAAAGGCTAAATCAGGTATGTCATATAAAATATGACAAGGTTAAATAAGGCCTGTTATATAGAATATGAAAAGGCTAAAAAAAGGCATGTTATAAAGAATATAAAAAGGCTAAATCTGGTATTTTACAGTGTATATATAATATGAAAAGGCTAAATCTGGTATGTTATATAGAATATGGAAAGGCTAAATCAGGTATTTTACATAGAATATGAAAATGCAAAATCCAGTATGTTTAATAGAATATGAAAAGGCTAAATAAGGTATGTTATAGAGAATAATAAAAAGGATAAATCAGTTATGTTATATGTAAAATGAAAAGACTAAATCAGGTGGGTCATAAAGAATATGAAAAGGCACACTCTGGTATATTATATACAATATGAAAAGGCTATATCAGGTGTGTTATATAGCATATGAAAAGGCGAAATCTGGTATGTATATATAATATGAAAAAGGCTAAATCAGGTAAGTAATATATAAAATGAAAATACTAAAACTGGTATGGTATATAGAATATGAAAAGGCACAATCTGGTATGTTATATAGAATACGAAAAGGCTATATCAGATATGTTATAAAGAATTTGAAAAGGCTAAATGAGGTATGTAAAATAAAATATGAAAAGGCTAAATAAGGTATGTAATATAGAATATGGAAAGGCTAAATCAGGTATGTTATATAAAATATGAAAAGGCTAAATCAGGTATGTTATACTCAACTCAAATCATTTATTTGTACATAAAGGCCTCCGGCCCAAAATACATCATAAGGTATAACAGTTAATAAAATGTCAAGTAGTTGTATATTGTGAAGTTTAAGTATCATTAATTATATTTATAAGATGATAGATGTAAATAGATATATTTTTAACAATGTCAGGGTTTTGAGAAGACAAAAGAGCATAGAAATTTTGAAGTTCTGTTCCATAATAAATAATAATAATTTTATTGAACAAAAGGCAAATGCCTGTGAGTACATATATATATAAGCTAAATAAATACATTTGTCTAACAGTATCAAATTTAACAAATTTAAAAAGGCATGGTATTCACAATCAATTACATTTGCATCATTGAACTGTTGGCAAACGTTACATATACCATTTTCTTTTATAACATTATTATATCTACCTAATTCAATATTCAGCCTGTGATTTGAAAGGCGAACTTTTGACATAGCAATTCTTTATTTTAACTGAATATCCGTAGTCAGGCTTTTAAAGTTATTATAATGATCACATCTTCTAGAGGATTATATACAATATGAAAAGGCTAATTCATGTATGTTATATAAAATATAAAAAGGCTAAATCAGGTATGTTATATAGAATATAAAAAGGCTTAATACGGTATGCTATATAGAATATGAAAAGGCTAGATCAGGTATGTTATAAATATAGAATATGAAAAAGATAAATTATGCTTGTTATATAGAATATGAAAAGGCTAGATCAGGTATGTTATATAGAATATGAAAAAGGTAAATAAGGCGTGTTTTATGAAAAGGCTAAATCAGGCATGTTGTATAGAATATATAGACTATGAAAAGGCAACATCAGGCATGTTATATAGAATATGAGAAAGGCTAAATCAGGTATGTTTCATATAATACATGTTTAATATTATAAAGCTAAAACAGGTGAAATTGCCTTAATTGTGATAATTGTAACATATATCTTTGTATTTAATTTATACTTTTACAAAACAACACTTAATTACTACAAAATCATCATTTCAATATCAGAGAACTCTCTAGTTTGTGAGGGAATCTTGTTATGTTAAGATAATTTGTGAGTTTTGCTTTCAATAAATTTCAGGTTGTCGTACTCAATTGATAAAACATTATCGCAGTGATGTGCTTAAAGTATCAGCAATACCTTTACAACCAGATGAGGAAAATTATAACTTCAGTGACGTTTATATAAGACCCACTATAAAAATAAAGATAGAAAAAAACAGAGGGGAGTCTGAGGAAAAAGATATAGAGTCCATGTCAGAGATTTTCACAAAGAACGGGGAACCACAGAAATTTATTTATGTTGTTGGAGATGCAGGGTCTGGTAAGAGTAGTTTCTGTAAATATTTGATCAACTGTTGGTGTATGGCACACAGTGATGGACACAATGAAGATAATGAGTTTGAAGGAGTCAAGGAAATGAAGAAATTTGATTTCATGTTTTATATTTCTCTTAGACATAACATAAAGATCCGAAGTATCCAAGAAATGCTTGAAATGCGATATGATAAGATAAAAAAATTAAGTAAACTTCTGGAAAATGATTCTGAAAAGATTATTATTTTGCTTGACGGTTTAGATGAATGGTCTTTTGACAGTGAGACTAGGAATGAGTTCCAGGCAGGCCTTCCGGAACGTGATTTTACAAAGAAATACACCATTGTTACTACATCACGGCCATGGAAAATTCACAGTTTGAGAGTAAGTAATAGAGAGATTCATCAATTATTGAAATTAAAGGGGTTTGACGAAACACATGAAAAAGAAATGATTAGGAAAACAATAACAGCATTGAACGAATCATTAGATCCTAATTTGTGTGAACAAGAGCTTAGGATACCGTCTGTGGTTGGCCTGAAACAGGTACCAATTATGCTGCAGCAATTGATTTGTTTATGGTGCGATGGTAAACTCGATAAAACCTCAAGGTGTGCTATTTATACTGGTATGTTAGAACTTTATTTCACCTGGAATATCAATAAAACTTTAGGAAATAATACAGAATATATGGAAAGTTCTGAGAATGTTGAACTCCCTCAGTATTTAACAGATGTAGAGATATGTAGATTAAGTAGTCTTCTTATATATGGTGTGTCGCACTTGGCTTATGAGACATTGTTCAATTATCCGAAGGATAAGTCCTTAACATTCGACAAATCTGTGTTTGATGATTTGAAAATATCACAAAAAGTGCAAGAAACATGTCTGAAACTGGGAATTTTGACAGAAGATAAATGTCCTTCTTTATCTGTATCTAAACCTAAAAGCTCATTGTTCTCTTTTATTCACAAAACAATGCAAGAATTTCTGGCTGCAGTGTATATTGGTATCAATTTCAATGCAAAAATTGGTTCGTCAGATAGTACAGGAAACGTTGAATTAGCCAAAAAGTTTATTGATGAGGTTTTTCAGAAATGTGCAACAGTAAATGACATATTAGAGCAGTCAAATGTTATCATTATGCTATCTGGTCTTGAACCTAGATTAGCAATACATGTTTCAAAATACACATATGATACTGTGTCAGAAGACTCTCGTGTTCAAGAATACAGGAGAACAATAAGTAGTAACATTTATAGCCATCATACTTGTATTACTGATATTCAAGAGCTTATGTTTGACTCAATGAAAGAATTAAATGCATCATGTAGTAAAGGAAGTAATCATGTATCTTATATAGAAGATTTGGTCATTGATGATAGTGATGATTGTGATATTGTTTGTTTAAGTATTGATCAGCATCAAATTATTCCTAACTCTGTTCTGTCTATTTATGTACATAACATCAACACGGATAATGTTAAATTTACAAAATATTTACCAATGTTTCATCATCTTGAAAAAATTGAAATAGAATATGGATTTGAATCACAAAGGTTATCAAGTACACAAAGTGATAGTACACAGAGTAATGAACAGATGATTGATGAGATGAACAATTGTGTTTCTGAGACAATTAAAGTAAATACTTTAACATTAAAAGCTCTGTCTCTTGAGCATGTCTCTTACACTGGCAAGTATTACCCAGTGTGTAAAACAGTTAGTTGTAACCTACCTAGTATGATCAATCTTGTAGCAATAAGTATGCGTCATATAACAATGAGTCATGATGATACTACTACACTTTGTAATTTTCTTGAGACAACCAGTCATCTTGAACACATACATCTTTATGAAGTTAAATGTGAGTGTGAGAACCAGCATGATGTAAATTTATCAAAACATCAACAACTTCAGTACCTTTATTTATATGATTCTGTAAGTGTGAGAGATGCTGATACTACAAACCTTGAAATATTTAAATTTGATGAATTGAAAAATAGTAATTATGAGAAAATATTTGATATTATTAGAAAATCTAACAAATTAAAAGAACTAAACTTGTTCGGAGAATATGACAAAAGATTTCGATTATATCATACCAACATGACAAAGAGACTAGTCATAGTATTACCATTGTTACACAATCTCAGTAAGCTTGAGTTATGGTATTGTAGGTTAACTGACAATATAATACAGTTACCTTTAGAGATGAAGAGTTTAAAGCACATTGAGCTTTATGAAGTCGTTATGAGTTTGACAACATGGCAGATGTTTGTTGATAGTCTTCCTAGTATTCCTCATACTGTAGATGTTAGTTTAGAGAACTGTTATATTACAGGAGATGGTGAGGAGTTTAATGATGATAGGTTTACATGGACATCACAAGGATTTGAAGGAGGGAAGGAAAATGATGCTTTACAGTATGTAAAGGATCAGTTATTTCATGTTAAACGTGATGGTCGTATTTGGTTTGAATTTTCAACAAAAAAGTGATTAAAGATACACGAAGTTAAAAACATAGTGTTTAAACTAAACGATTTCTTGTTAAAAGAGATGATAAATTTGGTTTTTCATTTTTGAAAAAAAATTGATCTGAATTTTTAACATAGTGAGATAGAATACATGCAGTTAACATAGTGCTTTATCTAAATTATTTCACGATAAAAGACATAATTAATCAGCAAAAAATGATACTAAAGTTACATATTGATATGTTAAATAATGAATATAATACAATATGATAAATACCAATAATCAAAAACAGTGCATTAAATATCAATTTCTGATCATTGTAGTAATATTGAAAATGATGAAAGTAATATTCAAATGTGTAATTAAATAAATAAATAAATGAAAGAAATGCAGTGAAATATAAAGAAAATATAGGTAACTGTTTTTTTAAAGATCAGGGATAGTTTGTGAAAAGTATAATTTGAAAAAGTAATAGGTTCTTTGAATTATAAATACATAAATAGATAAACAGATTAGCAAGTAAATAAATTAATGAATAAGTAAATATAATAAGTAATTTGAATGGAAATATCATAAAACAGAAATTTAATGTACAAGGTCAGAAAAAGTAAAAGATAAATATAACATTCAAATACCAGTTATATTATATAATATATGATAGGATAAGGGAATGGTATATGTAATTACCAGTTATATGAGAAATATGTCAAGATAATGGTATATATCAATACCAGTTATATGATATATAAGACAAGGGAATGGTATATATGAATACCAGTTATATGATATATAGGACAAGGGAATGATATATATGAATACCAGTTATATGATATATAAGACAAGTGTTTGGTATATAAAAATACCATATATGTATATTATATGTTAAATATGCAAAGGAAATGGTATATATCAATACCAGTTATAAGATATAAAGGAAAATGGAATGGTATAAATGAATACCAGTTATATGTTATATAAAGCAAAGGAATGTTATATGTAAATTCCTGTTATACAATATTTAGACAATGGAATTATTTATATCAACACCAGTTATATGATATATAGGACAATGGAATGGTATATATAAATACCTGTTAGATGATATATAGGACAATGGAATGGTATATATAAATACCTGTTAGATGATATATAGGACAAGTAAATTGTTTCATTGAGATGAGGACCATTTACATGTTATATTTTAGAGATTCCTTCTTTGATTGTTTTATATTGTAAAGATTGTAAAAATTTACAAATTGTAATTATGGAAAACCATAAATGTGTACAAGTTAATACTGTTAGTCAGTATTATTCAAACAGTATCGTTAAAGGGTCTCCACTGAGGATAATATTTTCTTAATTTCTTGACATGATAGGACGGGAGTTATGTTGTTTAGGTTTCATACTATTTGAAGAAGATATATTATTTTTCATGTATAAAATTTGTATGCAAAATTTCAGATTATTTGCTCACTTTGTTTTTCCAAAATACTAGTAATCATTTTAGCTCGACTATTCAATGAATAGCTAATGCTATAATAGTACTTACTGCATTGGCGTCAAACTTAGGTTACTTTTATGTGTGCAAGTTGGTATCTAAAAAACTACTGAATGAAAATTTCAATTGACATTCTTGTTCTTTAACATGACTAACACAAATCCCATACCTCTGATATTTTTTTCCTCATATTTATTCCCCTTTTACGACTTAAAAAATCTTGGTTAAGTTTTTACGTATAAGAGTGGATTAGAACTTCACACACATATATGAGAGTAATGGAAAGTCACTGTCCGAGTACATAGATATTTGACAGAATTATTTCCCTTTTTGAAATTAGAAAATTCTGCATTATCTATCACTGTGGATAGTCAAGCACACTGTCCTGTCAACAGTGTTTAAATGTTTATAGCTAAAGTCCGTCTGAAAATTACACTTCATTTATATCGATTTTCAATTTTATTCCGAGTATATTTCTTTAGTATCATTTTTTTTCCCTTATTGAATATCCTGATTAATCAGTTTTGACTTTTCTATTTTTATTCTTTATTGTTTTGGCTTTTGGAACTCAGTGGAGCTCCTTTTAGTGAACTTTTTGCTGTTTGTGTTAGAATGATAATTTTAAACACTAGGCAAGTATAGATATACTTTGCTGTAAATTTAGATGTACTAGTATATACTGTTATTACAAAGACATTATAACATTATTTTCAATTAAAACAAGTTATACACCATAGATGTAAATATGATTTCATTATACGTTCATACATGTACATATCTTTAATAGAAATGAACAATTGAGGTAAAATATACATGGCTGTCAGGCGCAAGTGCTTATTGACACTTCAAATGGCTTTATTGTCATCTCGGTTACACCTCGGAGATATATACCAGTTCCCAGCTCCACTTTGGTAATATATACGAGTTCTAAGCTGCCTTTCGAATGTATATACACGTTCTCTACTACTTGGTTGATATGTCCCATTTCTTGGTTTTCCCCCTCAGGGATAGATACCTGTTCTCAGCTAAACCGTAGGGATATATACCTGTTCTAAACAGCCCCTTGGGGGATATTTATATATTAGTTCTTGACTACCATCAGTGGTGGGATGTATTCCAGTTCTCGGCATAAGTCAGTTCTCAGTTGCCCCTCAGAGATATATACAAGTCTCAGCTATACCTGAGGGATATATACCAGCTCTCGGATGCCAATATGCTCTTTCACACAGACAGCCATGTTTTATAAGTTTATGTAAAATCAGAGCCCCTATGTATAAGTCTCAGCTATACCTGAGGGATATATACCAGCTCTCGGATGCCAATATGCTCTCTCACACAGACAGCCATGTTTTATAAGTTTATATACTATCAGATATTTAGGTTCATAGATAATGTATGTAATGGTTGAATTAGAATTTTCTAATTAAACAATATGTCATATTTAGTACCTGGAAGACATTATAAAATTATAGGTATACATAAGTTATATTTCTGCTGATATTAACATAATTATGATATGTTAGTTTACATGTATTGTTAACATGAAATTACTCAAAAGTTATGTTGTTATCCTCTGTACTTGGTAACCAATGGATACTTGTCATGTTTACACTTCATTCGTGATGAATGTAGTTTACCGGAATCAGTACCTCTGGGTTCAGTACCTCTGGGTTTAGCTAAAATAAAGATTTAATGCTTTCAGACAGTTATGATATAACTACATGTTATGAATGTTATGTTAGTTTTTATACTTGCTGATATAAGTATATACCAAGGTGAAGATAATTATGGTATAATATTATATAAACATATGTTACGTATGTCTGATTGTTACATGAAATTCTGATTGAATGTGTTTCTTACATGAAATTCTGATTGAATGTGTTTGTTACATTAAATTCTGATTGAATGTGTTTGTTACATGAAATTCTGTTTGAATGTGTTTGTTACATGAAATTCTGAATGAATGTGTTTCTTACATGAAATTCTGATTGAATGTGTTTCTTACATGAAATTCTGATTTAATGTGTTTCTTACATGAAATTCTGATTGAATGTGTTTTTTATATGAACTTCTGATTGAATGTATTTCTTCATGAAATTCTGATTGAATGTATATGGTACATAATATTACATGTTAAAGGTACTCCACGGAGGATTCTTGACATGCCGGGACTAGAAATAATTTTTTTGAGATTATTACTCCATTTGATGTAGATCTATACTAATAACTTATAAGCAAAATTTCAGATCATTAGCTTGCTCCCTTTTTCCAGAATAATGATTATTATAGTGAAAAATGACCCAAAATTCAAAAGTGTTTAAACGCTTTTCAATCAAATCGGACTGAGAATAGTAAAAACATACAATTTTTAATGAATTTCTTGTATATTTTTTAGTTATCTTTAATTTATATTTCTGTTTAAAGTGCTCATGTTTATTGATCTGAAAATTAGAATGTTATGTTTTTAGGCTTATAAACCTCAGTGGAGTTACTTTAATATTGTTAATTGTATAATTACAAGCTATTGCAATCCTTTTATGAAAATAAGATTATATTATTTTATAACAAGTTATGTTATGTGACATGACACTTATACATACATTTTAAATTGTTGTAACTATTTGTTTTAAAGGCCCATTAAGCCTAAAAAAATTCAATCACTTTTATTTTTCAAAAGCTTTCATATTTTTTATCCAAAGAATTTCTCATTATCAGAGCTATCTGTTGTTGTTTTTGCAGTACAGTACAGTTATGATAATATGGATGTTAAATAACCATTTTGTTGACATTTTGCTACACAAATCATATTTTCTTTTCAAACTCATTTTTTTGCTATGTGATAAGAATATCACATGTTCAATATCTATTACTACAACATTATAAAACACATATTTGCCCTTTTTTACAAAAAAAATAAATAAAATAGAAATATATTCATTTCTGAGGCGTAATGTGCCTTTAAGCTTTAAATGTATAGGATAGGGTAAATTCATTTATATAGTATCATAGTTAACATATTTATGATAACATGAAAATCATGTTATGAATTGTTTACTATGTATGATAACATGAAAATCATGTTATGAATTGTTTACTAGGTATGATAACATGAAATTCATGTTATGAATTGTTTATTAGGTATTTGAATTTATGTGTATTTTATGCTTATATAAATTTTGTAACCCTCATGATGACAAAACTATATTGGCCATGTTTATACTTAAACATTTCTATATTAATTCTATATGAAGTTAAGATAAGTTCATGCTGGAATATGTCAATTATACATATGCTTATATATTAAGCATGACTGTATAAAACTTGAAATGTTCATTGAAAACAATATTCAGCTATTTTGTTACCATCAATAAAAACTTGTCTGAAAGAACTAAACAATCGTGAAACTTTTTGAAACAATTCTATTCATTTTATGTAGCACCTTTTAAGTTTAGTATAAGTAGCTGGTTTTATTGAAGAATTATAAGAAGATATCAGGCAGTGGTTGACCAACATTTCGTATAATAAATAACATGTCTAGAACATTATGTATTTTATAAGGGTTAAAAAATTAAATTCAGAATGGATACACCAGATCCATATTTATTGAATTGATCCAACAATGGTGACATGTATATCAGCATAGAGAAATGTTAACAAAATGTTGGCAATATATAAAATTTGATTTGGTCATAGAAGGTTTATGAAGCATTGTTATTCTGCTGCTTTTGTTATAAATGTAATACTTTAAATAATAAAATATATCTTTTTTATTTGTTCTGATAGCATGTATGTGTGACTTTTCATAATAAAGAATTTTACAAAATTGATTAGTATATTATATGTTTTCCCCTCTCTACAGACCTAGTTATGCTCCCCGAAAAATTTCGGGGGAGCATATATTCGGCGCAATGTCCGTCTGTCCGTCCGTCTCTCCGACCGTTGTCTTGTCCGGAGCAAAACTTAAATACCCTTGGAGATAATTTGTTCAAACTTCATACAGTGGTAAAGGGCATTGAGGGGAGTACAGTGTCAAAGAACCATAGCTCTATTTTGCTCGGTTTTTGAATTATCTCTCCTTATAGAAAAATCTTGTCCGGGACATAACTCTTAAACTATAAGAGATATCAACATGAAAAATTGTAGGTAGATATATCTCAATGGGTTGATATGCAGTGCACAAGAACTTGAACTCTGCCTTGCCAAATTTTGTAGTAATTGCCGTTTGTTCATTTTTACATTTTGAAGTTGTCCCGGACATAACTCGGTAACCATAAGAGATATCAATCAAAGTACTGAAGTATACATTGCTTGATAATATAATCCATTTTTGTAATCAAGGCCATGTTGATTTTAACCTACTGACCTCGAAAACAATAGGGGTCATCTTCTGACCAAGGTCAATGTCCCTAACAAGTGACTAACATGCACCAAGGCTTTTTTCTTCCAAAATTATTTATGAGACAAGGAAGATGTGATGTTCCATATGTGTATTGCTAGGCAAGCTGATAGATGAGCAATAAAGAAATCATTTTTTGAAACACCCGTTAAATGGACTGCAGTTTAGAATATTGAAACAGTCATGTTGAGTTTCCAGTGATGCTATCTAATAAAATACATGATCTGGTTTGAACTCTATACAAAGTCAATTAATTGAATCATCCTACAAGACTTAATTACCAAATTATAGTACATCTATGTACTGTACTTTGGTGCATTAATACATATATATTCTAGTGTGTTGTATTCATCTCTACACATTAATTTTCAAATGCATTACTTTATCGTTTAAAAATGAAATCTATAATCAAAACAATTCAAATGTACTGTAATATTTTCATTATTCAATAATTGTTACATATAGTCTTCATATACAACCTTTCCAAGAAATTCAATTATATTGGACAGCAAGTTAAGAAGGGTTTTTTTTCCATAATCAGGCTGTGTTACCAACTTCTTAACTTTAGATGAACCATTGAGCTAAACATTTGTTTTATTTTTTGGCTACTGTGACTTACTTCTGATTTTCAACCAAGCTCGAGCAAAACATGTCACACACATTCTTACGATGTTGTGTGACAATTGGGGCAAAAGTGTGACCAGTAAAGTGTTAACAAACTAAATGACCAGCAGATTGTTAACAACTATAATGTCATCGTCGGATACACATGGTTGATTAACATTTTACATGACATAACTGATAAATGTAAATGGTTCGGCCGTGGGTATCCGACGATGCTAAATATGGACAGACCAGAGTTGACATAAGA